GAAGTCTCCCCCCCCCCCCCCCAAACAGCATCATCCACAGAAAGTCACACGTAAACCCAGCAAAGCAGAGTTGCTTGTTAGAGTGAAAGCAGGAACCCCAGAGCCCTGCCCTCTCGACCCCCTTCCTCCCCCACCTCAGGGCACCTGGAGCCTCCAAGAAGTGCATTAGAAGATGTGCTGGATACTATTTAATACACCCATGTATCTGATTTCAGATGCTGGGGATTATTTCAGAGACTGGAACTGTTGTTGGTGCTTGAGCAACGAGGTGACTCCAGATAGTGAGACATTAAGTAAACCTGGATTAGTGAGCATTAAGGCATTCAGGACAGGCGAATCTGCAGGATTTGGGATGACACAGTCTGTACTCAGCAAGTTTATCCTGTAAAATGTGCTGTTTCCACCAACAGAATTTAATGATCAGAGTCCATGCACGTATCTCATCAAGTGGGAAGGCAGCCAAGCCATCAGCCTGTCACAGCTTCTTGCTGTCCCTCCTGGTCCCCTCTCTGACTCACTCTGATGCATCCCTGACCCCTCTTCTCTTCTGCCAAGGCAGATATTAATTCTGAGAGCTGATAAAACCCTGCCTGGCAGGAACCTAGGGAATATCAGAGTTGAGAGCCAAACAATAGCGTGGAGCCACACATAATAAGATTACACAGGTTCCATTGGCCAGCTCTCTAAAATAATGATGTTGGCAAAAAAAAAAAAAAAAACTACAAAACAGGATTATCTCCAATTAACTACAAGGATATGATAAAATTTCTCCAGGAAAGTGTCAAGATGGGAGAAATGTATTTATTTTCATATCTTCTACTGAGGGAGTTTCATTCATTTGACTAAGAGCCATTTAGAAGTTTTGATAACTCAGACATTGCTTAAATTGAGTATTTGCAATTTCTATGTAAAAGGGGTTTTCTAAGCAAGATTTAGGGGCATGCATTTAAACTTTGATCCCATCCAAGAACCAAACCTACAGGTTGGTTTGGGTTTTTTAATGATTTTGGAGAGGGAGGTTGTTGAGAGTTTCCTGGAAGGAGCAGAAGACTGTGCATCTGAAGACCTAAAGACCCCAGCTCCACTAGAATGTTCTTAATGGATTTTTAAATTAAGTTTATTGCAATAAAATGTATATAACATAAAATTTACCATTATACATTCCTGGTATTATTGCAACCATCACCACAAACCGTTTCCAGAACTTTTCCATTATCCCAGATTCTGTACCTATTATCTCATCCTCTCCTCTTAGCCCCTGGCAACCTCTATTCTACTTTCTGTCTTTATGAATTTGCCTATTCTAGATATTTCATATAAGTGGAATCGTACAATATTTGTCCTCCTGTGTCTGGCTTATTCACTTAACATAATGTTTGCAAGGTTCATCCATTTTGTACCAGGTATCAGAACTTCATTCCTTTTTATGGCTGAATAATATTCCATCATTAAGTATATACCACATTTGGTTTACCCACTCAACTTTTGAGGGCCATTTGGGTTATCTCCACCTTTGGGCTATGGTGAATAGTGCTGCTAGGAACATTGGTGTGGAAGTATCTATTTGAGTTCCTGCCTCCAAATCTTCTGAGTATACATCTAGAAGTGGAATTGCGGAGTCATATTTCTGTTATTCTTCATCATCCCTGTTCTAGAATGGACAAGTTAATGCTCTACCTGATTATAATACTTTTTTTTTAATTTTATTATTTTATTTATCTGACAGAGAGAGAGTGAGAGCAGGAACACAAGCAGGGGGAGTGGGAGAGGGAGAAGCAGGCTTCCCACCTAGCAGAGAGCCCGATGCGGGGCTCGATCCCAGGACCCTGGGATCATGACCTGAGCTGAAGGCAGACGCTTAATGACTGAGCCACGCAGGCACCCCTATAATACTTTTTAACTGAAATTAAGCCCATACTTCTTGTTGTTTACAAATAAATAAAAAAATAACTTTTCCTTCTTAAAAAAAAAAAAAAAAGGCTGGGGCCTCCTGGGTGGCTCAGTCAGTTAAGCGTCCGACTCTTGATCTCAGCTCAGGTCTTGATCTCAGGGTTGTGAGTTCAAGCCCCACATTGGGCTCCATGCTGGGCCTGGAGCCTACTTGGGGGAAAAAATAAAAAAGTGAGTTTGATAAGTTATGTTTGGTGATTCAGCTTCGCATTTTCCTAATAGTCTAATCTGATCTGTGATTTTCCAAAGGGCACTTTGTTTTAAAGTGTAAGTTTTATTTTCTATTCAGGTATGGTGAGGCCAATAGATGAGGACATGATTGCCATTGAAAAGATAATTTATTACTCATAGTTCCCAGGACGAAGGGGCAGACGTGCCACACAGGGCCACAGGCAGAGAGAGAGCATGGGGGAACTTCAGGAAAGACTTTATTATGTGTTCCAGGGAAGGAATGGGTGAGGCAGGGTAAACAGGCTTAGAATTGGCTAGTTTGAACGATTTCCATGGGTTCCGCGCCCCTGACTGCCCGAGGTGGCCCTGGGGTGACTATGGCTGCCAGATAGCATCCCACAGTGTAAGAGCCCCTGAGAAAACAGGTCGGGGGTATGGGCCCTGGGTTGGTTAGTTTGTATATGAAAGTCACCCCAGCACGAGTTATCTCTAGGAATCAACTGGCACAAGGAGGGACAGTCCTTTCCAGGTCAGCAAGGCCCAGACCTCAAAGCACCAGATACAGAAACTAAAAAAATATGGTTAACACACACTTTAGTGAAGTCATAAATCTCAAACAATGGGGTTTCCAACAGGCTTGCAGACCTTGGACCTGAAACAGTGCTTCTCAGGGCTAACCAAGTATCAGAATAACTTGGAAATTTTTCTCAACTGTGGTTTCCTGCTTCTGCACTCAAGGCCAATTAAATGTCCATCTCTGAGCACTGGTCATTTTAAAAGCTCCCCTGGTGATTCTCGTGATTCCGGGCTTGAGAGCCATCAATTTAGGACAGTGTTTCTCAAAGTCTGAACCTGGACCAGCAGCAGCAGTATGGCCTAGGAATTTGTTATAAATGCAGATTCTCAGGGGGCGCTTGGGTGGCTCAGTTGGTTAAGTGTCTGACTTTGGCTCAGGTCATGTTCTCAAGGTCCTGGGATCGAGCCCTGTGGCAGGGTCCCTGCTCGGCAGGAAGTCCGCTTGTCCCTCTGCCCCTCCCCCCTGCTCATGCGCACGCTCTCTCGCTCTCTCTCCCTCTAACAAAATAAATAAAATCTTTTAAAAATAATAAATAAAAAATAAAATAAATGCAGATTCTCAGGTGTACCCCAGACCTGCTAAGTGGGAACGTCTAGGCGTGGTCCAGCCCTTTGTGTTCAAACAAGCCCCCCAGGTGATTCTGAAGCTGGCTCAAGTTTGGGAACCACTGGTCTAGGATAAGGAGCACAGGTGAGGACTGCATGGTCCTCCCATCATGTCCTTGACCCCTAGCCTGATGAGACCGGAGCAGCCTGTCTGCACAAAATGGACGCGCTCAGCACCCTGCTTTGCTGATCTGTGGTGCGCTACTTAAGAGCTCTTCAAGTGTCCTCAAGTTGCAAATTTTAATATTCAGAGGAAGCTGAATAAGTAGTAAAACTGTGGGGCAAAAAAGTGATTGAAAACATAGTACCGATAAAGGAGAGAAATGAAATAAAGAAGTGGGTTTTCCTTATTGGGGAAAAAAAATCATTTCAGAGAATAAGCATAAACAGAGTGGAAGAAAATATCATTGGGTGACTTTTCTCCAGTGACAAGAAGCTGGTTCTGGGGTCACAGTCCTGCCTTCTTATCCCAGCTCCTCTTTTTAGCAGCTGTGAATTTGGGAAAGTTAATTAATTTCTAACCTCAGTTTCCTCATCTATAAAATGGGATTATGATGGTAGCTACCTAATCATTTGTTTTCAGGATCAAATAAGAATAATATAGCTGAGTAGTTGAGTCCTTGGCTTTGTGCTCTTCACTAATTAAAATCTAACTACCCTTTCTGCTGTGAATACCATACATTATTATTAGCACAGTGATCTAGAGGGAACTCCCCAAAATATTAGCTGTTCCCACTACGATTATTACTATTAGGAGACTGAGCCTCTCCATTAAGCTCACATCAGGTGAAAGGGGCTACAACTAGCCAGACAAGTCAAGGACCCCCTGAGAAAAATATCCTTTCTCAAAATTCAAAAAAATTATTTGAGTGTCTTACTTAGAAAGATCCTTGCCTTAAACAGAATAGGATAAGGTATGCTGTTGTAACAAACCTCAAAATCTCAGTGGTTTAACATGGCAAAGGTTTCTTTCCTGCCCATGTTCCAGTCAAACTCAAGTCAGTTGGTATCTGGCCTGCGAGTTGTAACTCAGAGACCCAGGAAGCTTCCATCTGGAGATACATTTTTAAGGGCCAGGCTTAGAAGGGGCTTATACTTCGTGTTTTCACCCCCTGCTCCTAGTTCTAAGATAAATGTAATCTCTCTCCTCCAAGCTAATTATTCTTATACCTGTGAATCCACTTGTCATGCAGAATGGATGAGAGCTCACCAACCCTTTAGTAGCTCTCATCTGAATGTACAAATTGGCCCACCCTCCTGCACCAAAACTGAGCCCAAATGTAATCCAACTGGTATAAACCGAGTGGTACAAGCATCTCCTGCATTCTAGAGACTACACTTCTATTAATGCAGCCTCAGGTTGCGTTTTTTTGGAGGGAGAGTGTAAGGAATATTGAACTTACTATCAACTGAAATTGTCATAGGTATACAACGGATTCAGTTCCCTTTCAGCAGTGTTTATTCTTCTCTTCAATCTCAACAGGAATCTCTATTATGGAAAGAGTCCGCAAGAAGAACATACGTTGAAGAGATTTGTTTTCTCTAGTTTATCCATTTATGTATCACCCAACTATTCAATGCAGGCGGCAAGCCTCCCTGGGTGTACCTTGTCATCCAAATGCTGAGAAAGGTAGTTGTCAAGCTTTGACCACCCCCGTTATTTCTTAGACGGACCCCTCCCATGCTCCTTGTTGCAGGTACCACATCTGCGTGACTGTGCTGATCTACTTCCTCCCCTTGCTGGTGATCGGCTATGCGTACACCGTGGTGGGAATCACTCTGTGGGCCAGCGAGATCCCTGGGGACTCCTCGGACCGCTACCATGAGCAGGTCTCTGCCAAGCGCAAGGTAATCGAAGAGCAAGCAGCACCTGACCCACCCTGGCGCAGGCGATAGGCTGGCAGGCACCTGAGCCCCAGAGCCTCCTAAGGCCCAGAGGCCGCAAGCACAGAACATCCCTGGGTCTGTGGAACAGTGGAGGGGAGGGCGGGGATGTGGGGCGGGGGAGGGAAGAGACCTTTCTTCGTCCTATTTGTAACCTGGGCCCACCTGTACAGGCAGGAGCCGCTTCCTTCTTGCCTTAAGAGTAATTGGCAACCTGTCGAGCTATTAACATGCACACACATACACCACACACACACGCACACACACACATTTAACCACAAAGGCAGTGAAGAGCTATTGAGTCCTCTTTTGTTATTAGAGTTTGGCAAAATAATGCATTCACTTGATTCAAATATCAAAAAGTATCAAAAGGAACAAAATTAGTGATGGAGAACAGACCAGGGGTTGCCACGGGTTATACTGGGGGGAGAGTCTGCCTATAAAAGGGTAGCATGAGTGAGTTTCTTTGTGCTGATGATGGAGCAGGTCTGTATCCTGATTGTGGTGGGGTTTTCACCATCTATCCATGTGACACAATTTCATAGAACTATACACCAAAAAAGAATGAGTGCGTGCAAAAACTGGCAAAAGGCAAATACAGTCTGAAGTTGAGTTAATAGTGCTGTGCTAATGTTTATTTCCTCATTAATCATGTGATAGAGTTGTGTAAGATGAGATCGCTGGAGGTACCTGGGAACTCTCGGTACTACTGTTGCAAGTTCTTGGGAGTCTTAAATTATTTCACAGTTAAAAGTCCAAAGATGTATGGAGTCTTACCATGAAAGGGCTCCCTCCTTTCTAGGTCTTCTGTCTACCCAGTTCCCAAATGTGCAGGTGTGCGCACGCGCACATGCACACCACGGTAACCACTGTTATTTGTTATTAATCTGTCCAGATATTACAATGTATTTATAAGCCAAATATATATTGTTTTCTTTTTTACACAATAAATACATACTTCTTCCCCTCCCTTTTTCCGCTTAACAGTATCCACAAGATATATCGAAAACCGATACATCAAGAGCTTTCTAATTTTTTCTCTTTGGGTACCTCTTTACATAGTATCTCATTAGTGGATGCTAGTTAGTTTTTCTCTGAAGATTTTTGTGGGGATAAAAAGGAACATGTTACATCACTCACTGTTCATAAGAACCCTTGAAATCCCCTTTAGCCATCTGGTGCTCCCCAGACCCCTCCCTTCCCCTTCCTTGCCCAGGTACTGCCCTGGCCCTTGGTTGCCCCCCACACACACCCCCACTGTTTCCTCCCCCTTCCTGGATCTCTACCCCCTGAACACCCATTCCCCTGGGTCTGCCCACCCTCGGCTTCTCCACTCACTGCCCAGAAGGATAGAACACAGAGGTTCTCAAACATGAGTGTGTCTCAGAATCATCCGAAGGCCTTGTCAGACACAGAATTCTGGGTTTCACCCCCAGGGTTTCTGATTCTGTGAGTGTGGGATGGGGTCCCAGAATCCACATTTCTGACAAGTTCCCAAATGATGTCACGACTGGAGCCACACTCTGAGAACTACCGACATAATCAAAGTCCCTTGGTACCGCACATAAATTGTCCTTCCTCCTCCTCGAAAGGGGTTATTATCAATACTTCCCAGCCTGTACTGCACTGTGTGCGGCAAGGGGGTGGGAGAAGAGAGAACCATGAGAAAAGGTGGTCTCACCTGTCTCACCCTCTTGCCAGGTGGTCAAGATGATGATCGTCGTGGTGTGTACCTTTGCCATCTGCTGGCTGCCCTTCCACATCTTCTTCCTCCTGCCCTACATCAACCCTGATCTCTACCTGGAGAAGTTCATTCAGCAGGTCTACCTGGCCATCATGTGGCTGGCCATGAGCTCCACCATGTACAACCCCATCATCTACTGCTGCCTCAACGACAGGTGAGGACCCCATCCCCCACACTCACTCCGGGGGCAACAAGATCAATTGTCTCCATAGCGGCCAAGGATCCAGCCTAAATGAGCAGAACCTCTGTGAGACAAGAGGGAGTGGTAGGGACTGCAGCAAAAAATGACCACGCCACTCAATCCCTACTAATTATTGCCATGCAGGATTACAAACCCAAAGTGGGCTTTTTTTTTTTTCTTTTCCAAGAAGAACCAGAAATCTGCATTTTTGTGTGAGGTCTTCTAACTTTTGAACGCTGGCAACTAAGGTAGTGGGGGTGGGGGTGCACATTAAAAAAACCTCTGTCATAGATACATATGAAGAGGTCTACAAGCTGGATCCAGTTCACGGCCTGGGAGTTTGGTCACTCTGCCCTACGGATCCACACACAGGGGGCTGTGCGTGCAGAGAGGGAGAGAGAGAGAGGGAGTCAGAGAGAGTCACGCACACACAGAGACACCGATGGCACCAGAATACCATTCTCCACGGGGCATCTTTCCCCTCACTGGTCTCTCACTTTCCTCTTCCCATCCGTCCCATCATACAATCCAGGCAGCTTTCCCCAGTTTCTTCCAGCAGCTCCAGCAGGACAGGGTAAGCAAAAGGCCCTGATTCGGCCCTGACTTGGCCACACCGGTCGGGAGAGCTGTCCTAGTAGAAGAAGCCAACCTTGGACAAGTAAGAGAAGGGGGAGCCCATCAGGGACAGCGGTCCACCATAGGGAATTCGGGTCCGTGCGCAGAGTCCCCAAGAGGCAGCTCAGTCCCTCAGCTGGGAAAGGAGGCAGGGCCAGGGGGAGGAATAAAATGCTTGTCACAGTCTTTCTAGCTTTCGGTCATCAGCCTATAAAGTGCCTTCTGTGAATGAGACACTCAGGTGCTGTGAATTTGGTGGCAGTCATTCTCTTGAACGTATCCAGATGCTCTCTGTTAGGTTAACTCGCGGATTCATCTTGGGTTAAATACCCCAGTACGTCTTTAGGTAAAGGCTGACTCTCCCAGTTTATCAAACCGGGGACCTGAGGCACATGGAAGGGACGTGACTGAAGTGAACCTCAGTCAGCGGGCTCCTTGAGAGACAGGAGTCCTGACATGTGGGTTTCCTGCCCAGGGACAAGCACAGTACCGAGCACACAGCAAACACTTGGCGGACGCTTTTGTTAGTGTTGAATCGATCCAGCGTGGGCTGAGGTGTGGGCGGAGGCAGCAGAGTTCAGGGGTCGCCCTCAGTCAGCACAGGCATTTCACGCGAGCCTGGGGTCTAGTCCTGGACTGTGCCTTCATGACTGACCTTCAAATCGTTTTCGCCTTAATGTCTCCAGCTGTCGGTATAAAAACCAGTAAGAGAGAGTCACGCTCGGGTATGTCCACGTGTGCAAGAGCTGGGATAGTGGTGGGAATGCCCTCTGGGAGCAAGCTGTCCCCGAGGGTCACCTCTCCATCTGCTCTCTCGCCAGGTTCCGTCTGGGCTTCAAGCATGCCTTCCGGTGCTGCCCCTTTATCAGTGCCGGCGACTACGAGGGGCTCGAAATGAAATCCACCCGTTACCTCCAAACCCAAGGCAGCGTGTATAAGGTCAGCCGCCTGGAGACCACCATCTCCACAGTGGTGGGGGCCCACGAGGAGGAGCTAGAGGATGGTCCCAAGACCATACCCTCGGCCCTGGACCTGACCTCCAATGGCTCCTCTCGCAGCGACTCCAAGACCGTGACAGAGAGCTTCAGCTTCTACTCCAACATGCTCTCCTAGACCACAGGTCCTCAGCGGGGGCGGCCACCACCATCTGTGTCTTGCTTCACTCCATGCATGGATAATGCCTTGATCTAGAAACCATCAGAAACACCCTCACATTGGGGCTTGTGAGAAAAAAAAAAACAAAAACACCCTGGATTCTTCTGTGACTTTGTCATCCCCCATGCTGTGTGACCCAAGGCAAATCATTGAATTTCTCTGAGCTTGTAAAATGGCAAGGTTGGACTTGATTTTCCCTGCAATCCATGCCATAATTCTAAAATTAACTTTGGTTGTATGTGGGGGCTCATTCCAGGAGGAATCCTGTAGCACCTGGATTTACCTGGAGCCCGTCTTACTTCAGTGAAGCTGTCCTCAGTCATGTGCAGATTACCCTCCTTTAGCCAGTCTTTACATCAACCTCACATCAACCTTCACTCGACAGGGTGAACAAAAGAAGGAACTACGTAAAATCTGAAGGAAAGATTTAACTCCGTCTTCTAAGCATCTGTGAAAAGGAGGCATGGATGCCTTCCTTTAGGCACCTCAATATTTCAGTGCACTGAAACATCCTGAGATTGAGAACCTCATGTTCATCTGCATTCTGTCCCTAGGGACGGTCCTGAGCAACCAGTGTGGCAGAACATGTCCGCTGATGCAAGCTAATGTCAGCTACACACCAAGAATCGGGAGGCCTGCGCCATACTTAATCTATCTGAGCTTCTTTCCTTATCTGTAAAACCATGGATGAGATAACCTAAGTATCCCTTTTAACATTCAATGGTTCAGGGCGCCTGGGTGGCTCAGTTGGTTAAGCGACTGCCTTCGGCTCAGGTCATGATCCTGGAGTCCCTGGATCGAGTCCTGCATTGGGCTCTCTGCTCGGCAGGGAGTCTGCTTCTCCCTCTGACCCTCCCCCCTCTCATGTGCACTCTCTCTCTCATTCTCTAATAAATAAATCTTTAAAAAAAAAAATATTCAATGGTTCAAGAATTGTATGAGTTTTTGGTTTGTTTCACCAAAAACTGGTGGTCTCAAAAGGACTAGGAATAGCAAGGCCAGTGACTTGATATCCAGTTCCTGGAGAGTAGCAACTCCTAAAATGTGTCAATATCCATATCAAACATTCTCTGGTTTATCCTAAAACCATGCGTACTCTCCTTCTTCTAGAACATTTTGGTCTTTGACAGAGCAGAGGACTTCATGTCAAAGCCTGCCTCTCTCCAATCAGATGTTAACAGGCCAAGTCCCACAGCTGGAGATGCCATCAGGGAGGATAAACACATGGACTCCCTGCCCTGGCCTTGTGAGGTATCTTAGGGCAGGGACACTAATGCAGTCCTAGCTTTCTACCAGCATAAGGCATGTGCTCAGATACACAACGAACGAGGAGGCTTCCCCCTGCAGCCCCACTTGTGGGAAGAGGCCACCTTATATCTTCCCTTCTGATTCTCTGAATCTTCCCTTCCTGCCCCCATGGCTTTACTGGCCAGCTGTCTATAAGGGCTGGGATGTCCCACCCACCCCACAGGAGTCAGTCTACCAAGAGCCATGAATTGAATCCTGCCTGTCCCACTAGAGCTTTGAGGTATCCAGCAGGTGAGCACGCAGTATCTTTCTGTCTCCCAGATTTGTGCTTTGTCCAGATGTGGCTGAAAGCAGAAGTCTCAAGTACCATCCATGCATGTCCTCTTTGTGGTTTGAAGAATGGATGCACCTGTTCTGCATTTGTGGTGTTGAGGGAGACCAATGCTGTTCACGGGCTTTACAGCCTTTCCCAGCCATGCAGGCTAGAACTCTACCAGGGTATTGGCAGGCCTGGGGAAGTCGCAAAATAACAGTATAAGCCAGAACAACCCAAGAGCCATATTCTGCAAAGCAGCATGGGAAAGATTAAATAAACTAAATAAAACCAGCTCAGTGCAGATACATGAATGAAAGACATAATTTAAGGGGAAAAAAAAAATCAATGCCCAAAGCATTAGTCATACTTCCAATAAAGAATTGTGCTGTGTGTGGATCATTTACTCCAGAAGGGTATGTAAGGAACCAGCATGATTATGAGACATACCTACGAAGAAAGTGTCAAAGAATTGGAAACATCCTCTCTATTGAAGAGGTGAGGGTTGAATTCAACAAGGATTTGTGGAGTACCTGCTCTGCGCTTAGCCCTGAGCTGGGGACACAAGACTCGTCCTACTCTTGAGGAAACTACCAGACTGGCTGTGGCTAAATCACCTGTCCTAGTGGGTCCAGACTGCCCATCAGGCATGGAGGCAGCTGAGCAGCACATTCTCCCCAGGATTCTAAAGACCCACACTCAATGTGGGTAATCAGGCCAAAGTCTGGGGCCTTCAGAGAGCCTTTTGCGATGAGTTCACTGAGGTTGTTGCCAAGGGAGCCACCAGTCAGTCCAGGGTAACTGAAGGGATGTGCTTGGATAGTATCACCACTGCACATAATAAGGGAGACTACTGGATGGTCATGGCTAGTTCAAATATGGCAGAACATCCCTGCTGAGGGCCCAGCAAACCTTCCTCTGACCCACTGTCCAGCGCCCTGCACTTGAACTTATAAAAATGTCGTCAGCTCCCATGTGTGAGAAACACCATGATTTGCACCGTGCATGGGTCTCATTCTTATGCCAATGTGTCACCCTGTGTTTATCTCCTGAGCATTTTTCCTTGGTATACTGTCCGGTAGTAATAGAATATAAGACATCATGGGGCCATCTTTGTTATGTTACTTCCAAAATGTGGGATCCAGCTGCTGTCAATGTATTATTTGTATTGTGCTAATCTCTCCTCTTCATTCTGTCACAGAGAAGAGCTGATACATATCATGGACTCACAATCAGACCATAGTAATTGAGGGGTGGGTGGGAGACCTTTCTGGGAGGGACTGAAGAGCAAGAATCCTTGTCCTCCTCACCCCCACCAGAATTCAAAGACACACTGGAATGTCCTTTCTCTTGGAAGAACTAGGAGGACTCCTAGGAAAAGGGGACTCAGGAGCTGACCTCATTGACCTGGTTTTCGAGAAGAGTCCTGTAAGTGGAAGGGTTCATTCCTGAGGTTTCTGTTCTCCAACCCAGGATCCTGGAAAGAACTTCCATTCATAAATAAAGTATGTGTTTGACTCTCTCATGATTCTGTCTCATCTCTAGGGAGCCTCAGGACCCTACAGGATGCTGAATGGGGTGGTATCATGAACCCTACTAACTTGCACAGCCAGAAGGATGGAACCCAACACCAAACAAACTTAACTCTGTGACAAAATGGGTTGGCAAGTGGTGGGAGCTATTTGCAGGTGGGGATCCGGGAAGGGAAGGTGGGATTGTGTGAAGTGACCAACAATGTCACCGGTGAGCAGAGCTATATCCATGCAGGTCCTCCCAGGACAGACACCAAGACAGAGTTAGAAGTGCAAGAAATTTATTGGGGGGACACCTGGGAAAGATGGGGGGAGAGGATGCAGGAGCGGCACAGATCTGACCCCTATGATGAAACGGGGTGGGGAGGATGGGCAGGAAGAGCCTCAGACTTTGGTGCAGCTCTGAAAACTCTCAGCTGGCCCAACAACATCAAAGTTTGCTCATAGGGAAGCCCCACGGTGGCAGAAATGGCCAGGCCTGGCACCCTTGCCCCAGGTGGTCACTGGCTGAGAATTCTCTGGGGAGAGAGTGGGCTGCAGCTGAGCCCTGCCGTGAATCCCGAGGCACTGCAGCTGGGGGCTATCAGCTGACCCCCCTCAGTTCTCTTTTGAAGGGACATGAGAGCTGGGACCCCCATGACTGCCACCAGAGCTTGGGGCCAGCCCCCTGCGTTTAAAAACATATGTCAGGAAACCACTGGCCGAATTTGAAACCTTAACGGTAATGTCTGTGAACCTTGGCAACCTGCCTGCTACTTCCGGGGCCACCCTGTACCACCTCACCTGCCAGGCACCTCCCCCAAAAGAGCAGTGGGCGGCCGTCGGCAGACATGAAATGACAAAGGTCGTAAAGGCATTTGAAAGAGGGAGTTTTGAGGAGAATATGGACAGCTACCCAACATCCTGAGTATCAGACACAAATAATAAAAATGTTTCCATGCAAACTAAAGCATCTTAAACTGATATTCTTGTATAAGCTTCAAGGGATCCACAGACCACTGCAAGATTTCCACAAGTCACATGTAAGACATTGCATATGCGTGCGTCCATGTGTGTGTAATAAAAGGTGCAAAACCGGAATCTCCCCAAAGAAATCATCCACCCTCTGTTCTCCCGAGAAGGAGAGAAATGAAATTGTTTGTAGGACAGGGCCGAGCCGCCTTGAGACCTTCGGGCGCGGTGGCCGGTATAGGCGGCCTTGGAGAACCCAGAGCGGCTGTCGGGGAATTGGAAACCGCTTTGGAACAAGAGCATGATTCACCCCAGACACGCGGATGACTTAAAGCTGTAGAACATCGTTAAAGATGTTTGTGGCAGTAAAAACCAAATTCGTGATTACGGGGTGTGCTCACTCTTCTCCATGAAACGATGAGTATTTGTTAGCTGAGGAAGGACTAACCTGAGTTGTGGGCAAACAAGTCATGCCGGCTCCGGAGTACGGATTTTCCTGTGGAAAGGCAAAGACGTTTCATTTAGTCCCGTGTGGGCCCGTGCGGCCTACAGACCCACTGCGGACGCTTCGCCTCTGGAGCTGCAGCCGCCCTTGGTAACCCGCCCTCCATCCCTCCCGCAGGGTGTGCACGTCCATGAGTGCATGTGAGAGTCCATGAGTGGACAGATCTCCGCAGCTCTGGAACCTGAGGGGGGCTTTCAGTCAGGACCCCAAGAGGAGGGGGGCGAGGTGGGGGCCACACCAAGCATGTTCCTCCCATCCATCTTCAAAGGTGAGGGGAGCATCTGGCTGTAGAAACCACTTTCCTGACCCCCCCAGGCAGTGTTCTGGGACACCCCCATTTCTCTGTGCTCAGCTGAGGAAAACGGGGAGGAAGGGGCCCGAGGCTGTGGCAGGGCCTGTCTCACAAGCACCGAATCCTACATAAAACGGTAGCGACCTTTGCTCCCGGCCTCCCTCTTGAGCAGCTGCTCAGCCAGCAAGGAGAAGAGGCTGCTGAGTAAGAAGCAAGTGACTCCCGGGTATGGGCACTGACATGAATGCGTGCGCGGCTGCCCCCGCCCTGTCTCTCTCCCATGACACATTGGCCACATACGCCCCCCCACCCCCATCCCCACCCCCCAGCTACAGAGATTTTCATGCAGATTCAAACCTGGGTCCCCTGCATTGCGTGCACACATGCCCTTTCTCTGTTTCTGCCGCTTTTTATTTCCAGTTTCCTTTTGTTCTCCCCTCTTTAGTCCATCCCTGGAAGCCCTCTCCTCCTGACACGCTCCCTGCTGAAGCCTCCAGGTTGTAATGCCACAGTCCCGGTGCCCTCATCGATAAAGAGAGGATCTGGAGCGATAGCGAGAACGCCCATCCCTAACGGTCCCCTTTCCCATCCCATCTCCCCAAATCCCCCCCTTGCCTGCCCCACGTACCCGCCCACCCACACTTGCCCTTCACCCGCTAACCCCACCTCCCACTCACCCACTTTCCCGGATTGAGCTGCTTTCGGGACAGGACTCCCGAGTTAGTCCCTACCCTTAAAAGCAGGAACTTCCCTTGCAGACCCGGCCTCCGGGCTGGGAGAGGAGAGCAGCAGACTCGATGGCAGCGCCGTGGGCTCCGAGCCATGCCAGCGTACGGGCTTGGAGAACAACATTCATGCTCGAAGAGACCACCGGCCAGAGCGGAGGGAGAAGGCGAAGGCAGTGCATGTTCTCCAGGGCTTCGGTTGCTGCTCGTCGACCCCTGCCCGTTGCACTCTTGTTCCCTAACCACCACCGGGAATAGTACTTGTTCTGGCAGAAGAGTCCCACGGGCCATAACTATTGCTCCAAGACGGCAGCCACCTGCATTGGTCCAGATGGTCACAAAGAGATGCTGTGACAGCTGATGATGAACATGGCTCTGTTTTGACCTCAGAAATCTGGGGACAACCCAAACACTTTCTCACAAAGGGAAGCGGGTCTTTTCAGCTTACTTTATACCTCTGAAGATTTGGCAGCCGATAATTCAACTTCGTCCGCTAAACATTTGCCTGACAACCAGGATGTTGCAGGTGCCCCGCTGGGGATTTGGAAATAGAAATTTCCATAGCACTTGGTCCCTGCTCTCCAGTCCAGAGGGGTAGACAGATGTTCACCATAGCCCAGTGGGAGGAATGTCAAAGCAAGGATGCACACTCGATGCCACACCTCCCCAGATGTCACTAAAAGATCACGAAGCCTTCAGGCCAGTGTTCTTATCAGTGGCAATAGGCAGACAATCACTCACAGCAAACGTCTGTCTGCCCGTTGCGATGGCTCACTTCCCAAACCTGCCAAGTTTTCTTATGTAATGGGCACCCTTACTTTTCAGGGTCGTGAGTTTCCCTTATCCGATGCATCCCCCCTTTCTACTGTTAATTTCAAATCCTCCCAAGTCAACAGCCAGTCGTCCCTCGTCCCTCCGCAGTCCCAGTGGCATGTGACAGCCACCACCGCTAGCGCCCGCCTCTCGGGAGTCCCTCATTGGAGCCCCAGGACTGCTCTCTGCTGCCCTCTGGAGGACTCTCTAAATATGCTCTATTAAAAAAAATGCTCCACCAGATGGTAGGGCTTGCTTTGAAGTGGCCAAGGAGTCAATGCCATGAGCATGATTTTCCTGTGCCTGGGCATTATTTGGGTTATAGATTTGAAGAAAGGAAGACACATATTAGAAAACACGGGGCCTGGAAATAGGGACTTGTCATTATGGACAGATAGTCACTTGTGCTTCTGTTCCCACCAGGAAAACTCCCGATCTGATCCTGGGAGCCAATTGTAAGGCTCCACAATGGACTCCTTACACCCTTCCCCTCCTCCCATCTCTGATCTGAAGATCCCCCGTTCCTAATCATGGTATGCATTCTGCCAACTCCCAGGAGCCCCACGATGGTCCTAATGCTCCAGTGGGATTGTCATAATGGTACGATGCAGAGCAGTGGATGGCTAGGCCCACCACCCAGGGACACACGGAGTGCAGGGCCCAGGCTCCCAGCAGCCCACCTAGAGATGCCATGCAAGGTCCTCTCTTTAAGAAACAATAAGGTTCTCTGCTTCTTATGCTGCTCATGCCAAGTTGTGGCTGGGCAGGCTCAGTTGCCCATCTAGGGCAATACCTATGGGACAGGAAGCATTTATTTTGCATCAGATACTTTAGGCTTATTGGGGCCACTCTTGGCTTCAATCTACACTGGACTTGGATTGGGAACTGGACACCTTGGCTCAGAAGCATCAAGCCCCAGCAGCTTCTTACCCCTACCAGATGATTGTCATGGATCTTTTTATAGATTTCCAGGGCAGAATTCAGTCCCCATAACTCCTAAGGGACGGTGCATAAATCCCCGTGACTGGAGTAGGCAGAATAGGATAACCCACGCTCCAGGTGTGTGTTCTGGGAGACCTCTCTTTCTGCACGGGCTGCAGGGTCCCATGGCCTGAACAAGACATGACTGTCAGCTAATTTCTCAAAAAGAAGATGACATTGAGGTTCTACACCAGCATGAACCTACTCCCCAGCTATCATCAAGGCAGGGTGAGTGGACAGCCCTTGCCCTTTTCTACACATTCCCCTAATGCTGGAGACCCTTTGGCCCTGGGTGCTCATGCTCCCTGGGTCGCATCTGTTTACAAAACTTTGTGGGAGAAGGGGCACAGAGTAAAATATTGTTTGATAGAGGTCCTTGTTTGATAGAGGAAAAGAGCATGTGAGTGAAAACAGAAATGTGTGCTCTAGGTAAGTTTGAAGGTTTGAAAAGTAGAAGAACAGAAGAATTGTTTCCTTCCCTCTCCCATCTCAAATGTAATAAGACAATGATAACAGTGATAACAAGTATTATGCTCTGGATCTCCTATGCCAAATATTTCATGCGCCCTTATCAGGTTTCATCTTCACAGGCCATGAAATCAATATTATTATTGTCCCTTAATTTAATAGGAGAACAATGGGGCATACAGAGTAACTTGTTGGAGATCTAACCAGAACTGACTCTCAGAGCAGCTCAATCACAAAGCCCTCACAT